TGCCGGCACAATGTACGGGCTTCGTGTTGTGTTGTCCTTTCTTCCCCCCAGTCTCGGCGGTTGTGTCTAAAAAATTATGTGCGTGGATGTTACAGTGGAAGGCAGAAAGAAGTAGAGAGAGACATTAAACACGTTCATAACGAATTCCTTGACCGCGATCTAATAAAATTGGTCTTGGATTCACCGTTTAATGCGGCAAAATAATCTAAGTTGTGCGAAACATTTCTTCACTGCACGTTGAAGGTGTGCTATCCAGCAAATATTGCCCCCAATCGGGTATCTCAAAAAATAACTTCAAAAACAGCGAAAGTTCACAGCTCAAATCCTTCAGAGGTACTTGAGACCAAACACGGCTCCGCAGTAGATGTTCGAAGACGAGATTGCCCGTTATCGCATGTGGGGTAAACACGTGCGATGGTGTAACTTCACCCGACATATTGTTTGGTACTGGTGAGTTAAGTGCTGTAAATTCATCCGCACGGGCCTCGCACCGTCCAAACTCGTCAAGGTCACTACTTTGCACGACGTTTGTTTTCCATCCAAACACTGCTACTAGTACTGCTAACGAAATTTATGTTGAAATCATGTAAATACACCCCAAAATAATGAGTTCCAGACGCGTTTGCGACTACACCGTGCACACCTATCCGTAGCATTACCAACGCTCGCCACGAGGGAGAATGGTTGCAAACAAAATAGAGTTCTCACAATAGCTTAATTATGCGGCTCTATCGATGACGAAATGAAATATTTACAGGACATTTGTCTTTATTACAAATATAAATAGTTTATTGTAACGCAGGCGCGCACATATCTAGCATCGCCGGGAGCACTGCTCGCGAAACCTCTCGCCGCGGTATGATAGGGATTGTGGCAAAATATTCATATGTATATGTGCTTTTTTAGAAATAACAGCTTACCTTCCAATCACGTAAGTAACTCGATGATATCCAAATTCATTTCACGCGCAGAAAATTGCCAAAACAAGGAAGACTACGCTATGCTAACCGCATAATAACACAGCGGAACCGTCTTTCCGTCTGACGTTAGGAAGCGAATGGCGGCGCTAGAGAGGGAGAGGAGAAAAGTTTGGGGGGGGAAAGGGGAATCGTAGATGGAAAGGAGGAAAGTTGTCGCTACCTGTAAAAACGAAAAAAATATCCAGGGACGTTAGGTTACACGACCGTAGTGCAGAAAATGCACTAGAGAAAAACAATAAAGAAACTAGCAAAACAAAATGAAGAGTAATCACACCGTGCCACCGTGCTACAAAAGCACCAAAGTAGAAAAATCAGTTCTTGCAAGAGCTAGCGCTGTGGGCACGGCGCGCGACACGGAGCGCTTCATTGAGCCGAGGGAGCAACGCGGCCCCGGTGAACGAGTCCGATAGCGACAAAAACGAACTAAAACACGCAAAAAATACTTTTACGGCGCTTCAAAAGCATCAAAGTATAAGAATAACCACTAGTTTCGGTCAAAAAGACCCTTTAAAGTTGTAACATGCTGCTAAACCACGCTCAAAAGGTCCGGCCAGACGACACCCGCGATAGAAAGAGACCTCGAAGATGGCGACCGGGGCGCGTATTGTGAGACCCCCCCCGGCAGAGCCCCGCGAGAGAGAAAAGAAGGAGGGAGAGGAGGAAAGGGAGGAGGGAAGAGTACCGCGATTGGCTGGCGCAGTCACGTGGTACGCGCGCGCTACGGGCTGTTCTAAGCTGCGTGCAGCCCCCCTCCCCCCCGCTACCGCCGACGCGAGCAGACGCCCTGCCGTTTTGTTTTGGAGCACTCCACGCCCCAGTCGAAAAAGTGCATTGGTGCAGTCCTAGATATTGGAAGGTATCGTTAGTGTGAAACTGGATAACATACGCGCACAGGTCTTAATGCTGACTGGGCAGCTACGCTACGGCCGTTTTATGCTTTCTGCCGTAACGTTCGCGTACTCCAGGGCGGAAGGGTGTGTTTAGGCCTAAGGACCCGTGACCGCTGCCAGCGTTTCGAAGTCATTTACGGCCTGGAAATAAACCCAGCTCGTTTGGCTTTCGCTAAAACGTCCAGTGTAGCTAATGTTTTATTTCATTCGAACGACGCGCCGCTGCGGTGTTGTGTAGTCTGCCCTACAGCGATGCCCAACTCGCCGCTTGGCAGCATTATTCACGGGTGTAACATCATTCGCCCGTTGCTGGCCTCAACAGGAATCGCGCCAGGTACGTATGAGACGCCAACGGAGCACAAGCGGTGATCTGGACCGCGAGTGCACGTCTGAATTGTGCTTTGCATATACACTGTCACGCCTCTGCAAGAATCAATCGCGCTCCCCGCAGCTAGTCGAAATGGAAAAGTGCATTGTCAAGCCTGTAACCCTGCGGCGAAATTGATCTATACCCGATGTCAGCTTTTTTGTGCTCCACTGGAAACGGTACTAAAGCGTGAACGCAGCTGCTTCGACCAGTGCTTTTTTTTTTTTTTGCGCGATCACTCGAGGGGCTGAAGCATGTCCGCGGGCAGCGTGCACGCACTCGTACACCCACAGTGGAGTGACGCGAAGTGACGTAGCGATTGTTACAAATTTAGCGAAGGAAGCGGGCAGTGAGAAAATATTCCACAAGCCGACTGGCCATCTACTGTCATCGTCCTCACCTGCAGCGACGACTGGGCACGTGTGTGAACGAATTGGTTGATGTCAAGGGTCGTCCTCGCTGTGCTTACCAATTAGCCTCTGCAATGTGATATGCCCACATGCCCACTGTTATGCGTACGCATGCTGCAGACAGCAGGTGTCAGATTTGTCCTAGCTATGCTTACCTCAGAATATCTTCAAAGGATTGTATTCACACATGTCCGCAAGCCTCAGATAGTTTTGCCCGAGTGACTTGGAGCCTGTGCTCGACACAGGGGGGCTATGTTGCACGTTTTGGACTCCCAGAAGACTAGGGAGAAGGAAGTGACGTAGGTGTGAATGAACGTGTCTTGGCAACTTCTGCAGATACTGTCATCAGCGACTACACCAATCAACATCCAGCGAGCATTGTTGACGTCACTTCCTTCTCCCTAGTCTCCTGGGAGTCCAAAACGTGCAACATAGCCCCCCGGTGCGAGGGCTGGCTTTGCCTGCCTGACCTCCATCTTTCTTTGCGACTACAAAAAGCTGGCCAAACTGGCACCTGGCATTGGTGAATAGGTAGTCTAGACATAAAGGGAAACCGAGGTCAGCCAGCGTGAACTTTGCTTCAGCAACAGGGTTTCAAAATGCAGCCGCAAAAAGATGCACTACATGTTGGGCACATTGCCATTGACGTTTCTGTTTCCAGCAGCTACAAAAATAAGCACTCTCATCTCAGTTTGTCCTCTTTTCCAAACTTGGTGATGTTAACCACTTGCGAGGTTCCATCAACCCAAATTTCCACTACGGAATACTGACACTTCTCGCTGCATGACCTCCACTGGGCCATGTGCAGTCAAATCATGGAATGCCTAATTTTTCTGAAACCAGTAGGGAAAATATACGAGGCAAGACATTCTCAGATGATCAGCATGGTCGACAATATATGCAGCAGACCCGACAACAAAACTCCCTGTACACAACTTTAGAAATCCATCCATTTATTTCAGGCACATTGCACTTGCGAGCAGGCAAGCACGAAAGCAAGTTTACATCACGAGCACTGGCAGTGCAACACAAGGCGCGCAAATACACCCAACAAAAAATATGAAGCATAACGAAAAAATAATGGTTATCTCATTATTGAAGACGGCAATAGAAACAAGGTTGTCGTGATTCATGTATGTGCACTACACAGTAAACAGCGTCGTGACAACAGGAAGGGCACAAAAAGTGCATTAAAAACAAATCGCAATAAGGAAACCTTGCACTCTATGCAACCAAAAAAAAGAAGAAAGCCTAATTCCTACCAATAAAATCATACTATTATAAAATAAAATACTATTTTCTATCAAAAGAACAGATGCGATGCGAATACACGAGTCTTGGTCAGTCATGTATCGGAGCCGCTTCTAGCATCTCCCTTTCCACTTCCTTTCCTACGCCTTGCCACTTGCACACCGTTCAATGCAGATGAACATCCATAAGCTTTGCAGTGCATTGGCAGGTGTGATCCATAACCACTGATAAGTGAGGCCGCACTGATTACCATGCCTCTTACCACAAACCAGCAACTTAACCTTTGGTCCCGAGCATTGCAGATATTGGAGAACTTGCAAAGGGTCGTAATGATGACAACCACACAGAATTCGGCTGCTACTCTTTTCAAGCTGTGCAATATTTTATGTACATAAGGCATGACTTCAATTTTTTTGTGATGTTTCTTGAGTACAGTATTATGGCTTTTAAGTTCTGAAAGGGACAGTGACACCCCCCAAAAATTGCTTTTATTTTTTGCCAGGCAATACATTATGGTGTCGGAAGACTACCCTATCAATATTTTGCGACAGCGTCACATATATTTTTTATAAAGTAAAAAAATGCAACTGCTTGAAACCGAAACTGGACTGGGGAAGAAGAAATATAGAGAAAGTTGCCAAAAATCACATGGTTTCGCAACTTTTTTTTTTTTCATTCAACATAGTTGCAGCTTTTTACAAGCCACGAAAAATGGGCATCATATTTTTTGTCTATATTTAGCATCGGGTGTGTGCCTTCGATTACCCACGACTTAGATTATCTTTGGTGATTGTGTCTCAACCATAGAAATCGGCACGTGACCATAGAGAAGAGGGTGAGTGCGACTCAAACCGTCCAGTTTTCGAGCGGAAAGAAAACTAATTTCGAGCCGCAAATTGTGTTGTGTAGCCGCCGCATTTGTTCATTTAATGGAAAGAGTGGGATTTTATCAAGAGGGATTAGGCTTTTTTCTGTTTTGGTTGCGTAGAGTACAGGCAGTTTCCTTGTTCTGGTCTTTTTAATGCTCATTTTGCGCCCTTCCTGTTACATCATGACGCTGTATTTAGTGCACATACATGGATCACGACAATTGTTTCTATTGCCACCTTGAATCACGAAGATAACTTTGTTGTTGTTTATTTATTTATTTTTTTTTTTTCCGAATGGGCTGTGTTGTTATTCATCAAGATAGCTATGGCATTGTGCCACGTGTGTGTGCACTAGGTATGTTTGCTTGGCAGAATTTTTCAGTAAACCTTTTAGTTGCAAGTTAGCGCTCGTTTTGCGTTCTGCTTCTTCTGTGTCCCGTCTTTCTTGTGCTACTTGTCAGCGATCCGGAAAAACGTAATGCCGCGCTCCTTTCACTCCTTGCGCACCATCTCAGGACTCTGTGAACAAGAGTGTGACTCTTTTACTTTGGAGCAGCGTGCACAGAAAGTCGCTTTTTGCTGTCTAGTGGAAAGAGCGCAAGCTCGTTGACTCCCGGAGCCGCTACTGAGCGCATCTAATCATCATCTGCACTGGGGTTTTGCACCAAAAGTAGTATAGCCTCATTTCACTAGGGCAATAAACAATTGTTCCACTAGTGCAACAAAACAGCAGCCGTTCCACTAGTGCAACAAACAGCAACCAACGAAAACAAGCAAAAGAGTACACTGGATAGATTACCTGTTTGTCGGAGCTCACCAACCCATCTGGCGCACACGACGTAGAGCACACTGAATGCATATTTGTTTCTCTAGAGGGACCTAAGCTGGCAACAAGACTATGAAATAGACAAACAAGCAGTGTCGGATGACACGGCTTTCGTGTTTAACTCCCTGGGCGAAATGCACACTGACAAACGCAGTATCGGTAGAGGGAGTTGGTTTTCTTGAGTAAGGATTGTAAATCAACCACTTCTTTATGTGTTGTTGACTCTTCGCGTGACCAGTGTGTTCACAACGCCATTTTACTCGCACCCCAAGGTATCTCTTCCGCCAGTGTTTGCAGACATAATGGTATGAAAGATGAAGAGGATAAACCATAGCAAATGGGATCATTGTCACTTACAGGTCTGCAATGTTACTAGAACACTCAGTTGGGAAACTCGCCGTCGAAACTTGGGCCGCTGGGGTCCACCGAGACCGAGCTAAATACGACAACAGCGCCACTCTTTATCATTTGTCTGTACTGTGGTCACCTTGAGCTTTTAGAAAGCATGTTTTTGCATAAAAACAAACGGAAAAGACTCTTTTTGTATGAAATTTATTGGAGTTTAGTACCAAATGATGGGCGCGTGATGTTTTTAAAATCTTTAGGTTGCAGGGTTTTCAGCACAATTAATATTGTTTTTATACAACCATGCCTCACCGGTGCTTTCAGGTAGCGCGTCCCGACCTAGGTGCATTTTAACTTCGGTAGTAAGTCGCGGTGCGTTCGCTGGGGAGACGGGGGTGGCACCCCTGTAACCTCTTCTGCTGTATTTGTTTTGGCTCAGCAACGGCCGATTAAAGCCAAAATAGAAGTAACGTACAGTTCCTCCAGTGGCCGCTGCGGGAGAAATGGCGGCGTTGTGTTCGTCATTAGCTCGGTTCTTGAGGACAGATCGGGGCCACTTTTTCAGATTAGTCTCTATGGCAGTTTTCCAACTGAGCGTTTTATGGCGAATTCCACTGGTCGTTTTGGAGTGCGCCGGGATCGAGTTTTCTGGAGTGAGCCTATTTCACTGGGCGATCGAAATCGAGGCGACCCCGTTCGGATCGTGTGCTCCAGTCCGGATTTGGTCAACTGATCCCGGCGCGCTCCAAAACGCCCAGTGGAATTCGCCATTAGTAACGTTGCAGGTCTGGTTGTGGAAGGGTTGAGAGGCTACCCTAGTCATTTTTTGTGGCTTGTGACATAACTGGACACTGGAGTATCTACAAATGGAAGCTGACTGGAGTCATTGTCAGCACAATAAGTAATTGATCTCACGTTTCATTGTATGAATATTTAATATTAAAAAAAAGTTTAATAGAGTATTAATAGTCTCATCGTGGTCCTCAGTACAAGTTAAGGGAAAATAAACTTATCTTCATATATGAGCCAGCCACAGTTCTGAGTGCGAAAATATTGTGCCCAAACCTCGCTGTCAGCGTTCTTTGGTGGGACTGCCGCTCTGCGATTGCGACAATAAAAAGTCAGATGGGCCTATTTTGTGCCTGTCAGGCAATTGACGTCCTTTTTATGTTGCCTCTCTCTCTTGTGACAGCACGGCGCTATGAGGTTTTAAAATTAATACAACACGACAAACAAGGACTTGTTCGTCGTCAACCGTTGATCGGAGTTTGTGGTGATACGTCAATGTCTGAGGTGTCCAGGAAAAAATCGCTCTTGGGCGTTCCAGTAGTACGACACAATTAGAAACGACCAAGGACATACTGACTTTTGGTTTGCAGCTAATTAACATGTATAATTCCTGAGCAGAACGTAAGACTATGAAGGGGAATAACAGTGAATAACCTTAATAAAAACATCAGCGCGATATCCACCACAATGAAAAGCGATCAGACTGTACCAAAACTCCAGAAGGACAAAAAACAGGACCAGTACCTCTTTTTTTGTGTGTAGAGCATGTAGAAGTTAAAAGAGACGGACAACGCGAGAACGAACCCGAAGACTGTTCGAAGAGCACCGACTCCGAGCCAAGGAGGATTCTCCGAAGATAACGGCGCCATTTTGTCCATATGGTGGTGATGATGATGATGGTGGTGGTCGTGTGTGTCGTTAGCGTCGTATTTGTGTGTTCCAAAATGCACTCGATCTTACTCTAGTGTTAGGTGTTTTTTTTTTACTTAGGCGTTCTAAAACCTGACCACGTCCCATCGTTACTAGACCCGCGTCCAACGTTTTTAATTGTTTTTTGTCAATTTGTGATGTCACGTGACACAACCCGCCAGAGCACTAGTGCGCCAGAGTAACTCGAATTCATTTGGAATACGGCCTTGGTTTCGTTGTTTCGTAACCATAGCGTAATTAATTATTTAAAAAAACTAAAACATTTAAATTTAATTACTAACACTGTTTACAAGCGTTTATTTGATTTTGAAATCTACTTAGGCGCCTTCCAATCCACAGAAAACTGCACGCACATCGACATTATCAATGGCGGCCGTCGACGGTTAAGCTGCAGCTGCGCTCCTCTTCTGCACTCTAAGGTTTGGAGTGTGTCTTCTACATATACGGTTTAATCGCCTAGTCGTCAAGTTTGCTCTGGGGAAGGTAAGAGTGGGTGCCCATTGTCCAGGAAGGTGTTTCCGGTTCTCGAGTGCTCGCGCAACGAAAGCAGTGGACGTAGCTTCATGTACGTACGACACCTTCCCCAATAAAGCTCGCGCGCACGGACGCACACAATATTTTGTTTGAATTTCTAAAAAGCTTTGAACTCGCGCCAAGGGGTGAGGGATCATGGTAGCTAGCGTGAGCAACGCAAAAGGAATAAGTCTCTTAGCGGAACCTTATATCCCTTTTTGAGGCTTCTACGAATTTCCTTTACAATTTTAGCGCTGTGCCTACTACAAGAAAAAAAAAAAAAAGAAGAAGAGAGAGAGAGAAGACATCTGAACAGTTGAACAAATGAGTCAGTAAAGAAGAGTGACATAATTTTGTTGACATTAAGGGCTTCAAACTGGGAGAGGCAAGAGTTGATAGTACACTGAGTATACTGAGCACCTCTGCAGTTTTAAGCGTTAAACGTGTGGTGTAATGAACAACCTGACAGCACTTGAGCACCTGCTGTGCACCTGCAGCTCCCACATAGCTCGCAAGTGTCGCCATTGCTGGGTACTGACAGATTGTTCCAGTTAGTGGTTTCTTCAAACTACAACTTATGTGGTGTGAAGCTGACACGACGAACCGAACGCTCGCGGCGCATAAAATATTGGCATGGCTGAGAATGACGTCACATGCAAGCTGTGTACCGTAACCACAGAAACATCCCAGGTACAGTCGGCATCAAAATGAGGTGGAGCGACGACCAGATTCAGCTTACCCCTGACGGGATAAGCCGTGTAGAGCAAGACTGGAACAGGCTGCTGTGATTTTATGCAAGGGGGAGGTTAATGGTAATGATAAGCTGTGCATTTAGCCAACAACAACTGATTGTAAACAAAGAAAACATGACAGGCGTGATGATGCATCAAAACCAACAGCTGGCCCTGCAACGAGTTCTCCCAACCTTGGAGCCTCGCCCATGCATGAAATCTCGGTGGTCCGTTCCAGCCTCGCTCTCAGTGCTATCGCGACAGTGGCACCACATGTGAGATTTTTGCCACTCCGGCCGGTGTGGCGACAAGCCAGCTCATTTTGATGCCGCCTGTACAAGAGCGAATCCAGCCAACGTGTTGAAAGCCCATTGAACAAGCTGACCTAGCAGAGACGATTGTTGCACCTTTAGCAACAAATACAAAAATCGCACAACCGAATATGCTTACTCTTTGGCCTCCCATCAGCGGGAGGATGGTAGGACTCTTTGCTAAAAAATCACACTTCATTAATGTTACGCCCTCGCTAGCCCACACAAAAGCTGGTTACATTTTGAACAACATATTACTCTGATCATATCCAACAAAACTGATGTACACTGACTATTTACACCTCCACCCGCCCGCTAAATTTACCAGCCGTGTTTATTGTTTTTATCATGCCCTAGACTTGGAAGCAAGCCCTATAACACCTTCCATGTTAAGACCCGAAATCACAGCATGTGTGTGCTTACGCTAACTTCCTACCAGTCCAGACGAAAGATAGTTGCACTCTTAAAGGGGCCCTGCAAGGACTTTTTTTACTGGTTTTTAATTTGCACCGAACCTGAGCGCATTGAACGTAGTAACTCGAATTTCGCTTTATTTTAGAAGTTATAGGCAAATTAAAATTACGAAAACAAGCAAAAAATAACCTCCTTCATGACGTCCTTGGTCGCTTGAGTGGCCGTGAACTAGAGAAGGGGTAGCGAGCTCAGCGAGCGCTCACGGCTGCCGCACTCCGTTTTGACGGCTCAAGAGGACGCCACTAAAGCATGTTCTGGATATGAAGCGGGCAGCCAGGGTGGCTCGCAATACATGTGCTGCGCAATTAAACACTAATTCGGCATGACATTTCATTGGCCACAAACGACAGCAAACATACGGTAAAGATCAGTTCAGAACAAGAGCCACTTCGCGCTGCCATACCGCGCAATGGCCAAACCGCAAGCGAAACCTGCTTCGAAGGCCTTCAGAACGCTCGGAACCGGTTGTATCCTCGAGCCGGTATACAACCACAGCGCCGCCGCGTACATCCGGGACCTTTGTAACTCACTGCTCGTTCGTGCCTCATCCCACTACCCTTTTCTAGTATGCGCAGCCTTTTCCACTGCTTGGTGGCGGGTATGTCGACGGGTCATTTCTTGTTTCCATACTTTATAAACTGCATTTGTTTCTTTTCTGATCTAAAATACTGAACAAAAGCTACTTTCATAAGTGATTGAAACAGTTGCCAAGATTGGGAAACCACAAAAAAGGTAGATGCTTAAATATGATTGCCGGGCCCCTTTAACAAACCACAAACTCTTACAATAGGTGAAGAATTCATTAGATGCCTCTGCCACAAGTGTTATGCACAGGCTTAAAGTCGCTGGTGCAAAAATGATTTCATACAGATGCCCCTGTGCATTGTCTGTTTCATGACATTGGCTGAGGTGGGGGGAGGGGGCATACCATTTTGGATGGTAAGAGCGACAACCTCTTCTGTCACCCCACACAAACCCTTGCGAAGGAAAGCAGATAGCGCTATGACTTTGCTGCGTAACTTGAGGCAGGGGCTTGTAGAGAAGCAGAGAGTGAAGTGTCTTCCAATACCAGCTACGACACTACCGTAAAACACTGATAAGAAACTACAGCAAACAAAACCACATATAGGCATGACTTGCCAACATAAACCCGTGTACCGTAAAATCCTGAGCAAGCGCCCACTCAAAATTTCTAGACATTTCCTCAGAATTTAGGGATGGGTGCTTCATAGGTCATCAATATGCAAAAAATATGTGTTCAACATATGGAAGGTTACTTAAAGAAGGGGATGGACAACAATGACTTCCAATGGACAATATGCGAAATTGTTTGAACGCCTGGCAACACTCTGTGCGCTGCCATCTTTGTTGCGTCGAGATTTCTCTGCTGTTTGTCACTTTCATAGCGTTGTCGGTAGCAATTGAGGCCTACTGCTCATTCTCATCGCTCCTCATTCACACCTGCGAGCTAATGGTTAGTATTGTTTGACGCCTTTCTTGCGCATGTACATGCTTATTGCCACACCGGTCGCTGGTTTCTCGCCGCAACCAACATGGCGGACATACACTTCAGCTTGAAATTTGGCTTTGAGTGCCGGCAAAGGCGCGGGCACGGGCTTGGGCTTCTGGTTTTCGAAAGCGCTTTCTCTGCGCGAATGTTTGTGCGAGTAAAGGATTTTTCAGAACTACGCTTTTGCACCCTGGCCTTTGCCAGCACCGAAACCAACTAGTGAGACAGAGCATGCTCTTCGGCGCCTCACTAAATGGCACTATGCATTTCGCATATTGTCTATTGGCAAATGCATTTACTGACCCGAAGTTCACATATATAGGTGAAGGAGGGAAAAGGGGAAAGTGAAAGCTGCCACAGTGATAAGAGAAAAAAAAGTAATGTTTCACCCTCACCTCTTTTTCCTTCTCCTATATATGGTAACTTCAGGCCAATAAATGTTGTTGCAAGTTAGAAGTCATTGTTGTTGTCTGTCCCCTTCTCTGTGTTACCTTCCTCATGTTGGATACTGTTATCAAATCGCTTATTTTGTACTTAAAGGGGCCCTGCAATCATATTTAAGCGTCTACCTTTTTTGCGGTTTCTAAGTCTCTTGGAGTTCGGGCAAGCCAGCGGGCACGGGGAGAGTAACTAAATATCAGTGCGCCATATTTTAACCGGACGACGCGGAAACCTCCTTCGCCGACGGGAGCGACCCACAGTACCGAAAGCGCGCAAAATGTGACGTCTTTGGTCCTGGGCTTACTACTGGTCAGAGCCGCTAAAAGCTTCTTTTTAGTCGAAATACAAAATGTAAGTGGCGCAAACCGTTTTAATTATTTATAAAAATAGTTTTTGTTCAGTATTTTAGGTCAGAAAAGAAACGAATGCAGTTTATAAAGTACGAAAACAAGAAATGACCTGTTGACATACCCACCACCAAGCAGTGGCACCGACACGGAAAGGTCCCGGATGTACGAGGCGGCGCTGCGGTCGTATGGACAGGAGGATCCGACCGGCTCCGAGCGTTTCGAAGGCCTTCGGCGAGAAGCTCTGTCTTGCGGTTTGGCTGTTTGGCGGTATTGCAGTGCGAAGTGGCTCCCATTCTGAACTGATCCTTACCCCATGTTGCTGTCATTTGTAGCCAATGAAGTGTCATGCCGAATTAGTGTTTAATCACGCAGCAAATGCAATGAGAGCCGCTCTGGCTGCCTGCTGCGTACAACCTATTCAGAACGTGCTTTAGTGGCGCCCTCGCGCTGTCGACACGGAGTGCGGCAGCCGTGAGCGCTCGCCGAGCTCACTACCCCTCCTCTAGTTCACGGCCACTCAAGCAGCCAAGGACATCATGAG